TGACCTAAGAGCTGAGAGGGAATTTTTTTCTCAGCTTTGAGATGAGCTCACACAAACACTGAGGTACAGTTTCTGGGGGATGGAAGGACCCAGGAGTCCAGGCTTCCTCTAACTTCCCTTTCCACCACTGGAGGGACAAGTAATGAGACGGGGAGGAAGTCAGAATGCAGCTGTCCAGAGGGGGGCTGTGGTCAGTGGGAAAGTCAGTCAGTCACAGGGTTTGTTGTGTTGGTGGTGGTGTTGCTTGGGAAGGATTGGGGGGTGGGAGGGGATGAAGAAAACAATGAAGAATCAGAGGAAACCCCCAACACTACCAGACACGCTGTACTAAGACTGGACTCTCCTCCAAAACCCCCCCTTGCTCAAAGCTGAGTGGACAGAAGCGGATGGTGGGAGGGAACGGGGGAGAGGAGGGGGAGGAGGAGAGAGGGAAGGGGGCAGTGGAGGGAACAAGGACGTTTCTGTTCCTTTTCCAGGGACCTGGCCAGGGCTGGGTGGAGGGAAAGTGTGTGTGTGGGACTTGGCATGAAATGACCAATGATGATGAGAAGTGACCAGGAAATTCCATTCCCTAGGACACAGGACATAAGGGTCTCTGAAGCTCGGCGGCGGGGTCAGCGTGAGGAGAAGACTGGGCAGGGTCAATGCGGTGGCGGCGAGGGGGAGGGGAGCAAGGTCAGAAAAGGAAGTAAGAGTGATTGGCTGCCACTCTCCTTTAAAATATCTAAATCTCTAAAGCAGTGAGTTGTGGACAAACGAAGCCCTGACCTGGTCAGTCCAGGAGGAAGAGGCACCTGAACCCACTACCCACTATTTCAACCCCACAAATGAAGGGGAAGGGGCTGGGTAAACAGCAGGAGAGGTCAGGATCAGATCAGATAAGGCCATATCCTGACAGTCAAGCAGTGCCTTGACCTGGCTTGAGTCTCAAATAGGAAGGGTGAAATACAGAGGTGGAGAAGACACCCAAATCACACCAGAGCTTAAGAACATTAAAACTGCCAGGGAGTGAGCAGGAGAACGGATGGGAGAGAGGTTCAGGGAGAAAGGATTTACAGAGGTAGTTCCCTAGTACTGTTCGAGCCCCAAACCGGTTTTCCCGGTCCCGCTGCCTCCAGCCCCAAGGCCTCCAACCCGCTGCCTGACAAGCCTTCACAAGAAGCAGCTGGGGAAAGAGAGAAAGAAAGAGAATGGAGAGAATGGAGCGGGCAATTCTGGCCATGAGCCCGGGGCTGCAGCTGGCCCTTCTGAAGACCTCCAGGGAGGAGGGCTGCTGAGGGGCTCTAGAGAAGTAGCGGGGACCCCACTTTTCAGTCAAGTGACAGGCATTTGCCCCAGCACCAACCGGGCCCTTCCCCCGGGAAGGTCTTGTGGAGGCTTAAGAGCAAACAGATCTAGACCCTCAACTCCCCCTCCCCAATATATTCAGTCCCATAGACTCCATTTCTGCCCCCAAACCCGCAACTCTACCCAGAAATTCTCTGCTTCTCCTAAGGCTGAACTAGGATTGGGACCTCTCTGTGAATTTTTCCGACTTTGTCACTGTCTTCCGTAACTGCCTGTCTCAGATTCAGACCTTCCTGGACCAGCTGTGCTTCACTTTGTTGGCACATCCCAGCACCGTGGTTGGTGAGTCTCCAAAGAGACCTTCTTTCCACCGCCCTTCTCCCCCCAACACTCTTCTCTTCTGCTCTTTCACTGGCCTCACCTGCGCACCGCCGGAGCGTGGACAGGGACGGTTACTCACCCAGCGCACCCGCGTTTGCCACCGACCCAGCATCTCGACAGCCGCGGACTCCCTGCTCCCCCACCCCCAGCATCCGGTGCGTCTCAGCCAGGCTGGGCTAGCGGGGCGCACCGGCGGAGTGGCCGACTCCAAGATCTCACCTGCTCTGCTCCGGCATCGAGGCGTCCGGCGGCAGCTGATGGGGGGGCTCCCGCTCGGGGCACGCCAGTGTGGGTTCCCAGGCTCGCTCCTCGGCGCGATGGGGGAGCCGAGGGCGGACCGGCAGAGGTGGGGCTGGCCGAGGGCGGAAACGGCCGCGACGCGATTACGAAACCCGTCCGGCTGAGAGCCGGGCGCAGAGCCCTGCTCCGGACAGAGGAGGCGCTGCGCTGTGCAAGGACGTGGGAGGGGCCTCGGAAGCCCCCGAGGGCCGCCGCCCTGCCGGGCGAACCCGGGAAGGTGGGCCCTCGAGGGGGGCCTGGCACCCACCCTGGACCGTCCGGAACCGCGCGTCACCTTTGCGCGCCGGCGGTTGCGGGGCAAAAAGGAAGCGGAGCCCGGGAATCCTCCGGCCCCAACCGAGTTCAGAGATCCGCAGAAGCACACCCCCGTCCCGATCTTCCTGTACCCTTACCCAAATGGAAGGGGGCTAGCTTATTTACCCATTGTGAGAGTGGGGAGGCAATCGGGAGGGAGGGCTGGAGAATTTTTTCTGATTCTCGAGAACACTTCGAGTAACTCGAAATCCTTAAATCGGGGAATAAAGGGACACTCCTCTATCGTTATCTAGAGTCAAGATTTTTTAATCCATAAACCTAAAATTAGAGGACAATTAAGTGCTCATTCATTACTCCCTCAGTCAGCACGGGGGTGCTGGAACCGTGGTGCAGACCAATAAACCCACGGAGATGCTTTAATCCTGTCTCCCTCCCTCAAGTGTTCTGGAACCTATCATTTGAATTAGCCGAGTCAGACCGGGAGGGGGCGGGGAGTCCTTCCGCCCTTCTTAGGAGGGGCTGCATTGCAGGGGGAGACCGAGCAGGCTGGCTCTGTCACAGAGCAGGGAGGGAGTGAAGACAAAGCCGTCAAAGCCCCAGTAGCTTTCTTTTTCTCCAGCCCAGAGCACACACCGGAGCCCTGAGGTACTCCCTCCATCTTTGGAACACGCTAGTAATTCATTGATAACAGGTAAACGAGACTGAGGGAGGAGGGCAACGGGCTGANCAGGAAGTTATGAGGGACCCTGTGAGTAGCCAGTACAGCTCCTTTCTTTTCTGGAGGATGCCCATTCCAGAATTGGATCTGTCGGAGCTGGAAGGCCTGGGTCTGTCAGATACATCCACCTACAAGATCCAGGACAGCAGCGCTGGCAAAATGACGGGACAAGCAACTGGAGCAGAACAGGAGAAAAACCCAGAAGACGATGCCCTCCTTGAGTACAGCACCTTCAACTTTTGGAGAGCTCCCATTGCCAGCATCCACTCCTTCGAATTGGACTTGCTTTAAGCCCAAGACCTCTCTCTTCCACCACTTTGCCCTCATTGCCTGACCTTAAGACCCCCTTCCTTCCACCCTTTTCCCCTATCAATCTTACTGTCTCCCCCTTACTGTGTTGAGGTGGTGCTGATGAATCTGCCCGAGTTTGTTTTATGTATGTATTTATTTATTTATCTTACCAATTTTTCCTCAAAAGTCCTCAAGTCACAAAGTAAAGGGTTCAAGCAATGGAGTATTGGGTCACAGGGATTCCTCCTTTCCTTCCCCAGACATTAAATCCAGAAAAAAGACTGGTGAGGGCACCACTGAGTTGTATAGCAGTGTAAAATGGAGGACTGATTTTTAGGTTCATTTTATTCAGCTTTCAGAGAGTGCTCAAACCTTCCTAATTTCTTGTCCCAAGCCAGGAAACACAAGTATTTCTTCAATACTTACAGGTTTCTTACAAAACCCTGTTAATTTTGAGATTATCTGCTATAAAACTGTAGGGTTTCTAAAGGGTTAAGGTAATCCTGCTGCTTCTTGTGATACACTTTTTTCTCAGAGAAATTAGGGGCAGTTAAAGGTATGAAACAAGAGGAAGTAACACAGTGTGGGAGATGATAATAAGAAAAAAGCCCTGAATCATTTCAGAAACAGTTACACTCTCTCAAAAGTTGTTCCTCCTTTAAGCCTACTCAATTTACAGTTTTGCTCCTGTGGGCTGAAAACATTAGCTGAGGAAAATCAGATTTCAAATCTTAAAATGCAATCCTGCTGTTATGATAATTTTAAGATTTTATTCAGTCTCTAAAAGGCATAGGCGTGCTTAGTATTTTAGTTTTGCCCTCCTGCATTTAGTGTAGGATACTGATCAAATGGGCCTTGGGCACAGTTCTTCAGCTACCTTGACACTATGAAACGAACAATCAACTCTGACCCTACCCACTCCTCCCCAAATTATTGCTGCTGATTTGTGCTGCCATTTAATCACTTCTTTAATAAAGATATTCAATCCCAGGACTGGATTCTAGTTTTCTCTCTTCACAGGAAGCAGCATAGATCTAAAAAATTAGCTTTGCTTCCATGTTCAGCTTATATGTTTTATCTGATGTGCAACTTTGGGGAAGAAGGATTTAAGTAGCCTTTATACATTATAATGATGAACTTCAGGTTGTACAGATAAGTAACAAGAAAAAGGGTGAAAACAACTTAAAAAAAAAAATTATTTTGGAGAAAGCTGTAACCAACCACTCTTGGGCTTGCCCCCCGACTACCAATGTATTAGGCAGTAATTCCAGATGCTGCAGAAGGAACCTGTGGCATTAAATCTGCACTTCATTATCTCAGCCTGGGTCCCTAGGAAAACAAATGACTTTAACCCAAATATGTTATATGCTTATACTTACAAGTCACTTCATTAAAAAAAGCTATTTGGGCTAATTTATAAGTAGATTATGAGTACCTACTGTATGAGACAACGAGTCAGACAACAGAAGAGGTTGTAAACAAGGCTGATTTTGACCCTCAAAGCTGTAAATACCAACTTGGGCAGTATGCCAAATAAGTCCTTTGAAGAACATGAACAGATCTACGGAAGTTGAGGAAAGGGATGGATTGGGAGTTTGGGATTAGCAGATGACAAATTATTACATACAGAATGGATAAACTAAGTCCTACTGTATAGCGCAGGGAACGATATTCAATACGTTGTGGTAATTCATAATAGAAAAGAATATAAGCATATATATATATATATATATATATATATAGTTACAACGGAATCGCTTTGCTGTACAGCAGATAGTAACACACTATCACCTAAACTTCAATATTTTTTTTAAAAAAGCACGTAAATCTTCCCCATAGGCTTTGGAAAGCGTTGATGGTCCCCATCATCAACGACAAAAGCCAAAATCGAATAGAGTGGAGCAGTGATGTCTCCTTTTCTATTTATTTTCGAAAGTCTTCTTTCCCGACTTCGCGCTGTCCTTTAGTTCCTGGCGAATGGTAGGTGGAGATGGGAATCAACTGGTAAGAAAGGTGCCTAAATGAATTTGCAAACTCCTGCTCCATCATCTTCCAAGCCCCCACCAAGAAATAACTGCTGACAGCTTGGCTCTAGGATCCTTACATTCAGGCTGTAGCGGAAAACATGTCCGTCCGGCACAAGAGCTCAAATCACGCGCAAACCCTGCAAAGTCCCAGACATCTTCACCCGAGGGTGGGACCGCGAAACATAGTTTTCTAAAAACAACCAAAAGACAGCGGGACAGATGGGCAGAATCCGATTTCACCAAGTTCTTGGCGCCAAAACAAACCATCGGGTCCGTCCCCTGCCGGACCTATACGACACGTAATCGACAATCCTCCGCCTCGCTAAATAGTCCTGTCTAAAACGTCGCGAATACACACTATTTTACCTCAAAACGCCTTCCGAGGATAGACAGTGAACCTCTAGGGCGCACCATAGTCCTGTTCGAATACAAATACGGATTTTCCGATCATTTTCTCTTCATAGATTCCTCCGCCAAAAATTATATTCGCCGAGCCTTCACTTCCGGGTCCGCCATTTTGCTGCCTCCATTTCTTCACGAGGGGGGGTTAAAGGCCCCCAAAATATGCATATGTGAAAAGGCCAAAAAGTAACCGTCATTGACAGGGAGTTTTAACTAGAAAAGGAAACAGGACCAAACTGGCGGGCTCGGTGAAAGCACAGCCGGCAGCGTCCCGGACGAGGAGGTGAGGGGGGAAAAAAAAGAGATGCGTGCGCTCGAGGGGGCGTCAGGGCTGGAAGGGAGACTGCCGTGAAAAGTTGCACCGCTTTCCAGCTCGGCCCCGAACTTCTCGGTGCAGTCGGAGCGGCGCCCCCTCGCCAGAGCGGGGGCGGCTGAGGGAAGGAGAGGAAGGGGATGCTGCCGGGAGGAAGGGGAGGGGACTGGGAGGTGAAGAAGGGGGTGGGTGTAAGACCTGGGGCTGGGGAGCCGGACCGAGGGAAGCCAAGGCCACAGAGGTGACCACTAGGGGGCAGCGCGGCGCGCGGGCCGGGGGCTGCCCTCGAGGCTGAGACCCTGGCTCCCTGTCCCGTTGATCTTTCTTGCAGAAAGACTGAACGTCGCTGTAATAGAGGAGAAAAAGAATTCCCTAACTCTCTGATCCCAGGAATAGCCTAAAGATTATTAATGAGCTCAGTAATCTGAGCTAGAGCAGTGAGGGCTTCGCCTCCGGTTCTTGCACAGTTGTTTGTACAGCTGGCGGAGCAGTGGGGACGTGTGCAATAGAAAAAGGTCGTCAGATCATGGACTTTTCAATTCCATTTCTCCTTCCCTAACCGTTCTCCTTTTTTCAATTCCATTTCTCCTTCCCTAACCTTTCTCCTTTTTTCAATTCCATTTCTCCTTCCCTAACCATTCTCCTTTTCTCACAGATTTTCTTGAGCCCGCAGACATCATCCCATTCTTCTCTCCCTTTCCAGAAGGACCTTTCTCTCTCATCTCTCTTTTTAAAACATCTGTGGAAAAGGACATTCTGTGATTTACCTTCAGCAACTTAACATTTTTTGCCGTCTGAGACTGTGTTTTCATTGTACCATTTGATCCACCCAGTCCACAAGAGATGTTCTTAAGCATCTATGTTCATGTATGCTTTGATAACAGTGAAAGAAGTGCCCCACCTAAATTTTTGTATCAACAATTGAAATTACTCTCTTGTAATAGAGTACGTTGTTGTGAAGAGCTCAAGCACTTCATCAGTTATTAAAACACACTTATTGAAAATTCTTGTGTGTTCGTTTGGGAGGGGAAGTGGATGCTCTGTTATTTTATTCATCTCCAAAATCTTGGGAGGCAAGTTAGATCAGTAGGGAAAGTGGAGGTATATTCACTAAGGGAAAATGCTTTCCTTTTGTTTTTAGTAATCAAGGGAGCTCAGAAGTACCTAAACTGTCTCTTATCCTTAGGCTGCTTCTCTCATCTGGTGGTATATGGGAGAATGACACATAGTCCCCCCAAAATGCCATTATTTTTAAAATACATTTTACTTTTAACTTAAAAGCAAAGAGTGAGAATAAAGGGAGAAAAGAACCTTGAACACATATCTAGGAACTTTTTTTTTTCCTATCAAATGATTAATGCAACAGCCTATTCACATTCTGACCCCAAAGTTTAACTACAATTTATAATAAATAAGGTTTTTGGTGGCCTGTTTAAACAATGGGATGAAACATTTGGGTCACTTGTCATTTAGAGGTACTGATACACAGACTCATAAATATGATTATAGAAAAGTGATAAAATTTACATATATATGAAGGCAGACTGTGGTGGACAAGATTGATGGCTCAAAAATATTTTGTTAGAGTTCAGGAGCTAAGGACACCAGTTGCAGTGGGATTAAAATCAACTTAATTAAAGGATCTTATTTTCCAGAAGTATCATCTTCCCAGGAATGTGAATCAGACTATCTCCTTAAGCAGATACCTCAGCCTACAACTGAATATTTTTTTGTGGTAGAGACTAGAGCTGAAATTTCAGTATTAGGAGAATTTAATCTGCTGCTTGTCAACATTTCTCAACATTCCTGTGTAGGACGTTCTTTCCCTTTGTGATCAGTTATCGTAGAGGTGTTTTGAGTTTTGTTTTGTTTTTCATTTTTTGAGGGGGAGGTGGGGGAATGTGGTGTGTGACTTGAGGCAGGATCTTAGTTGCCTGACTAGGGATTGAACCCAGCCCCAGCAGTGATAGTGTCAAGTCCTAACCACTGGACTGCCAGGGAATTCCTATAGAAGTGTTTAGGGCTTGGTGATACACTTTTTAATATAGATATAACACATTGGCAGGCAGATTCTTAACCACTGGACCACCAGGGAAATCCAGAGGAGTGTTTTAATAGCTTGTTCAGGTAATGATGATTATTCTTCTGTGTTACACAAAAACCCAACAAGTGGCAATTTCTTAAAAGTTAGTTGCAATGAGGTATCTGAAACCATGTCAATGAATGTTTTATACTTGATTACCTTAAAACCCATTGATCTGCTTTCACTTTGACCCTTTTTACCTGAGCGTAATTTTGTGATCTATATGGGTCATTTGAAAATATTGGTTCACCAAATAATGCCCATCATCCAAATGTTGATGTATTTTATATAATGCTTAAAAATTACAGTTATTAGTATCACCTCTCATTTTATCAGAAAAGTTTATAGGGACTTCCTTGGTGGTCCAGTGGTTGAGAATTTGCCTGTCAGTACAGGAGACATGGGTTTGATTCCTGCTCCAGGAAGATTCCATATACCACAGAGCAACTAAGACAAAAAGTACAAGATGAAAGCAAATAGATAATAAAAATTAGATTTATCAAGAACAGTCATTTCCTCACTGGTTGGAAAATTTGTAATGCATGGTGATTATATACCATTCAGATAATTCTGCGTTGCATCCAGGAACTTCTCATTATCCTGTGCAACTCTGACTTTATACCCAGGCCCGTTTCTAATTTACTTTACAACAACTATCAATTTAAATGGCCATTTTGGTTGCTTTTAAGACAGTTTCCATCATTTATTGCCTTTGATTTCATGTGTTTAACAGGAGCTTTTTTTTTGGCTGTTCTGGGTCTTCATTGCTACACTTGGGCTTTCTTCAGGTGTGCAGACGGGAGCTACTCTTTGTTGTGGTGCATGGGCTTCTCCTTGTGATGGCTTCTCCTGGGTGGCACAGGCTCCAGGGTGCTCCAGCCCACGGGTGGACGGGCTTAGCTGCTCCCCAGCCCGTGAAATCTTCCCAGATCCAGAGATTGAACCCATGTCCCCTGCATTGGCAGGCAGTTTCTTATCCACTACATCACCAGGGAAGTCCTCTTTTTTCTTACCCTAAATGACCGAGAGTTGACTGTATGCCTTTTACAAGGAAGGAAAAAACTCTTCTACTCAGATGCTTTTATTTTACTGTGAGCTTTCACAAAAATTTAATAATGCCCACATTATTAAGTGAAAAACTGCAATGAAAAAAAAAACTGCAATGATTTTAGACATAACTGTACTTTTAAACAAAGTATATAATCTGACTAAACTGATGACTTTAAAAAAACTCTAGGTGTTGCTGAGACACTTCTGATAGGTGCAGTGACATGTCTGCTCATTTTTGAAAAAATGTCCTCCACGTACCCGAGTCTCAATATCCTTGCTTTGTCTATTCATTTTTTTTTTCATGTAACACATTATTTCTAACCATGGTTGTTTCGAAGGGATGTAATGCTGTTTTATTGAGTCCTTAAGCTAGAAAGGCAGCAGTGTGTTTCATGTATTTTCAAAGTATTTTACTCGAGATTGAAAGTGAGGAAACTACAGTTTAGGGCCTGAAACTTTGCAAATACCTGACAGTTTGTATTGAAGTAGAAAAGAAGTGCCCTGTCAGATAGTCCACTTGAGAAGTATCTTACATATATTCTAATATAAGAGGTCTTCTAAAACGTTTTTACAGGCATCTTTCCTTGTGTTTGAGTTACAGGTTCCTGAAAATTTGTGTTCCTATGTATAAAGATGTCTTTGGTGGACTTAGGGAAGAGGTTGCTAGAAGCAGCAAGAAAAGGCCAAGATGATGAAGTGAGAACATTGATGGCAAATGGTGCCCCATTCACCACAGACTGGGTAAGCTTGCTTAATTATTCCCAGCGTGTGCTGTTAGCAGCCTTTTCCTTAAAGACTAAATAGTCTGAATTGGTCTTTCTTTATTGTCTTTCTGCCTCAGTCTCCCTACAAGAGTTTCATCATCTTTGTCTCATCTGAATATATGGTTTTCTTTTTCTTTTAGTTTTCCAAATTGAACGAATCTCCTGTGGATAGATAGGTGGTAATTGTAAAGTATTATATACTTGTAATTTTCTATAATGTTTTTAAGAGTGTTTTCTAAAAGGTTTACTTCTCTCTGGAGTGTACTTGCGTTATAGGCTTCTGTAATTAGCTAGAAATTAAACAAAATCAGTATACTAAGAGTACATTTCTAAACTAATAAACTCCTGGTTTCCTTTTCTTTAAAATGTCCTCATTAATAAGGAATAGCCTAGCCATTTTGTTTCCTTTTTCACTGTTAAAAAACATTAAAGAGGAAGGTGTAATTTCATGAGTTCGAACAATCAGCTTGGAGAGCAGAGTGTCAGAAGATCCAGGTCTAGGTTATAACATGGGCTTGCTTAGTATTCATAGATTTTGTTATCATTGCCTAATTTTAACAATTCAATAAGCAGTGTCCTCTATTCTGAGGTGATTAATTCATAATTTTAGAGGCAAACACTTCACAAAAAGGAAGAAAGGAAACCCAGGAGATTAACATTTCTATAAATAGACTTGAAAAGCACATTGCAAGTTAAATCCAGTCAGGCAGAGAGACTGAATATATGAAAAACAAAGAATAAATGAAATAGGTTTTAAATTAAAGAGCATAACCCAAAGAAAAGGATAGATCTCTGACCCAAATGGATGCTGATAGATAACTCTGATAGTAGCAAGATTTACTTTGAGATGATACAGGCTTGTTTATTGCTATTGACACACTATTGCTTTTTTTTTTTTTGCTCTTCATCTCATCAGTCTTTCTGCTTTGCTTTACTGTGGTAACAAACTTCTATTTCAACCAATTACATTTGCACCCTAAATTTCACATGTCACTTTCTAGTTTTTGCCCTTTTCTCAAGAATTGTTTTGAACCTGCCTACAGTTGTGCTCATCTCACACGCTAGTAAAGTAATGCTTAAAATTCTCCAAGCCAGGCTTCAGCAATACGTGAACCGTGAACTTCCAGATGCTCAAACTGGTTTTAGAAAAGGCAGAGGAACCAGAGATCAAATTGCCAACATCCACTGGATCATCGAAAAACTAGAGAGTTCCAGAAAAACATCTATTTCTGCTTTACTGACTATGCCAAAGCCTTTGACTGTGTGGATCACAGTAAACTGGAAAATTCTGAAAGAGATGGGAATACCAGACCACCTGACCTGCCTCTTCAGAAACCTGTATGCAGGTCAGGAAGCAACAGTTAGAACTGGACATGGAACAACAGACTGGTTCCAAATAGGAAAAGGAGTAAATCACTGCAGATGGTGATTGCAGCCATGAAATTAAAAGACGCTTACTCCTTGAAAGGAAAGTTATTACCAAGCTAGACAGCATATTAAAAAGCAGAGACATTACTTTGTCAACAAAGTTCCGTCTAGTCAAGGCTGTGGTTTTTTTCCAGTGGTCGTGTATGGATGTGAGAGTTGGACTATAAAGAAACTGATGGAAAAAAAAAAAAAAAAAAGAAAGCTGATGGAGAAGGAAATGGCAACCCACTTCAGTATCCTTGCCTGGAAAATCTCATGGACACAGGAGCCTGGAGGGCTGCAGTCCATGGGGTCGCAAAGAGTCGGGCACGACTAAGTGACTAACACTTACCTCAGGGGAAAAAGCCGTTATTTAAGTAATTGAATATAGGATGAAAATAAGACATTATTGTAATCATTTATGTGGATACCTCATTTGAATGAGAATTTCTCAAGTTCATTTAGAAGTCGACCTGTTTAATAAAAATCTTCCTTGAGGCTGAAATTTAAAAATAAATAAATAAAGCTGAGCACCGGGGGTGGGGGGGGGGGAGNATATGTGAGATATTAGAACATGGGTGCAGCGTTTTAAATATATTTAGTATGGCATTAGGGTTTCCCTTGACACTTGAGAGTCCCTTGGACTGCAAGGAGATCCAGCCAGTCCATCCTAAAGGAGATCAGTCCTGGGTGTTCATTGGAAGGACTGACGCTGAAGCTGAAACTCCAATACTTTGGCCACCTGATTCGAAGAGCTGACTCATTTGAAAAGACCCTGATCCTGGGAAGGATTGAGGGTAGGAGGAGAAGGGGACGACAGAGGATGAGATGGTTGGATGGCATCACTGACTCAATGGACATGGGTCTGGGTGGATTCCGGGAGTTGGTGATAGACAGGGAAGCCTGGTGTGCTGCAGTTCATGGGGTCGCAAAGAGTCGGACACAACTGAGCAACTGAACTGAACTGATTCCTCCCCTTTGTTCCTGACTCAACGTGCTCTCTTCTACTTTTTTAACCTTCTAAGCCCTGTTTAAAATCATACCCTTTATGGAATTTTACCTGTTAAGTCCACCTGACTTAAAGCCATTATACTTAGCACTTATTTGATAGTATGTTTATTTGTCCATTAGTATATTAATTTTAATTAAATCATTTCTTCAGTTTATCTGCCCAGCTGATTCTCTCTCCAAGGACAGGAACCTAGGCTTCTCCTGTTTTTCATTTGTATCCCTCCAGTAATGATTTAAGACTGTGCACACAGTTGATATTAAATGAGTATTATTTCCCCACAGCTTGGAACATCACCCCTCCACCTTGCAGCCCAGTATGGTCATTATTCCACAGCAGAAGTGCTCCTTCGAGCAGGAGTTAGCAGGGATGCACGGACCAAAGTGGACAGGACCCCTTTGCACATGGCTGCAGCTGATGGACATGCACACATCGTGGAACTACTTGTTAGGGTAAAGCAAGAATAGTGGCGGGTCTATATTGTAAAAAAGACAAATAATCTTCCTATTTTCTTACTTAAACAGGCATTAGGAAACTAGATTGGGAAATATTAAATTTAGGACAGTTTATAGCATTGAGTTGTAGCTCTTTCAAGAGTCATCATAGCTATGAGCATCTTATTTTCTAATCTTTTGAAGGCTAAACAGACTATTGATTTTTCTTCATTCTTCTGCAGGTGTTCTTTGTTCTTTGTTCTGAGTGCCTGTTTTTTCAGGCACTCAGCTCACCATTAATAAATGCAACAAAAATCTGTTCTTTTCCCCTTCTCTCCCATCTGTTATAATTTTCCAGTGATGTCCTTAAAAGACCCTCTCATTTAAGGCATTGTGTCTGTCAGCATGCAGAAGAATTTTAGACATGTTTTTCCCTTTGATATTTCTTAAACATTTCTAAATTTGAATATGTGTAATCGATATCGAAATCCTCGGTATCTGGTGATGGGATATTGCACCTGTGCTACTATAACCAGTATCTCTTTGAAAAAAATTACTTTTTTATGACAGAATGGTGCAGATGTGAATGCCAAGGACATGCTAAAGATGACAGCTTTGCACTGGGCCACAGAGCACCACCATCGAGATGTTGTAGAGCTACTTATCAAATATGGAGCTGATGTCCATGCTTTCAGCAAGTTTGATAAATCTGCTTTCGACATAGCCCTGGAGAAGAACAATGCTGAGATTCTGGTCATCCTTCAGGTCCTATTCTTTTTATACCACCACAGTATACTTTAGCTGAAGTTAAGGATTTTTTACAGAAGCTGAATCAAAACTGAGTTTTCTGTATCTTATCAAAGTAGTACTTTCATTATGTCTCAATCTTGTGATTGTCATTAGTATCTTAAAAAATATTCTATAAAACCCTGAATTATTCATGATGATTGAAGAGCAGTATTGTGACCAGTACAAAAATAAGATTTATGTGGCTTTAGAATTTTTTTTCCTCCATGAAAATTTCCCTTTTTAATTAAGCTTGACTTGGGATAATATGAAAAGCCTCTTTATGTTTTATGAACATACATCAACTGATGTGACATAGAACATAGCTCTAAAGCATATTGAGTCGTAAGGAAACCATCTCAGAATTAAAAATCAGCTATGATGGGGACGACAGAGGATGAGATGGTTGGATGGCATCACCGACTCGATGGATATGAGTTTGAGTAAACTCCGGGAGTTGGTGACGGATAGGAAGGCCTGGTGTGCTATGATTCATGGGGTCTCAAAAAGTCGGAAACGACTGAGCGACTGAACTGAACTGAACTGATGATGATATCATCCATTGATTTCTTAAGCCAGTGTGTGTATATCAGGAAATAACAGGATGAGAGATACAGAGATTAATAGGGCATAGCCCTGTCCTTGAAGTGTTTACAGCATAATGAAGGTAAAGACAAAATATAAAGCAGTACAATACTATACTGATTTAACACGACGATGATAAACAGATACCTAGTAGGTGTTACGAGAGGGAGTTTTGATCATGCTTAAGGCAAAGATCAAAGTATATGTAGACTCTGAACTGAGTTTTGAAGGACCATTAGGCAGAGATGTGAGAAAATTATATTCTAAGCTAGAAAAAGCAAATCAAAGACACAGAGGTGTGAAAGGGGATGGAATGATCAGGAAAGAGTAAGTATTAATAGTTCTGTGCCTAGAGATTGGTCAAGAGAAGCAGAGTTTGGGAGTGGCAGGAGCTAAGACTTGAAAAGCTGAGTTCTGAACAGAGCAGTGTTACATGATGTGCAAGAGTGTGGACTATTTTGTGGTGTTCCAATGAAAGCTTTTAAATATAGGATTAATATGAGATTTTTAAAAAAGGTGATTGTTTGGAGTGTGGTACACAGACTTGAGAGAGAAGACAATGCTAAAGAACCATATAGTAATAGTAGTGTTAGTCGCTCAGTCATGTCTGACTGTGACCCCACAGATTGTAGCCCACCAGGCTCCTCTGTCTCCAGGATTCTCCAGGCAAGAATACTGGAGTGGATCGCCATTCCCTTCTCCAGAGGATCTTCCAGACCCAGTGATCAAATCTGTGTCTCCTGCATTGCAGGCAGATTCTTTACCGTCTAGTGACATTCATTAGGCCAGGCAAGAGTCAATGAGGGCTAGAATTAGTGATAATGGAGGGTAGAAGGGGCAAGTTCAAGAAGGAATTTTACAGTAACCAGAGAATGTATAATCTGCTTCAGTTGAAACTCGTAGCAAAGGGATAGTTGTGTGTTAAAAAAAAATAGTCATGTCTGCTGTATTTTCAGTGGTTTGTTTTTTTCTGATGTATGATTCCCTGCAGACTGGTTACCCACTTCAGCTTTCAATTCCTTGTTTAGAGTGAGCACTGTTATAATTCGACTTTTTAAAGTAGTAATCATGTTTGTAGAAAACTACTTATGAAAATAAAAAAAGAAATAAAGGGAAGCATCTTCATACCGAAATTGTGCAGATATCCCTGAAAGCAAAAATGCAGTGTATGGAACTAGCCTTTAAAATCTGGCACTCATTTATTTGTTTGTTATATATTCTCTTAGGGATTTCTTCAGTGGCAGAATGGAATAAGTAGTTGGACAAAACTCTGGAGAATATTGTTCTCTGTAGATTCTCCGCAGGGATCTCCAACTAGCACCATGTCTTGTACATAATTGATCATAGAATATTCGTGCTGGAAATTCCTTTTTAGGCTACTTTTATTTTTCAAATTAAAAACCAGTGTCCATAGAGGTTAAGTGAATTGTCTAAAAGTTTTTGCAAATATACACCTTTTTTTTTTTTTAAGGTATAATTAATAGGGAAAGCAACCTAAGCTCTCTGTTGCCCTGGTCTGAGAAGAAAACAGTAGTGTTAACCAGAACTCTGAGGTCCCTAGGACATTGTGAGCCGGAACTAGTTCTGCTTGACAGAGCATTGAGCGGGGGAGGGGGCATGGCTGTTCAGTAACTGTATAACTGAGGCTAGTTTGTAAGTGTTCTTACTTTGAAATATCTTGTGTTGTTTTATAGGAAGCAATGCAGAATCAGGTGAATGCTAATCCCGAGAGAGCCAACCCTGTGACTATGGCTACCCCATTTATCTTCACGTCAGGAGAAGTTGTCAACCTCGCAAGCCTTGTTTCTTCAGCCAGCACCAAGACAACCTCAGGTGATGTTCTGATAATGTGACATTTATTTTAGACTTGAAATGAACCGAATTCAGGTTTTTTTTAATAAGATGAATAGATACTCTGTCTGATATCCCCTCCTTTATTAAAATATTCCCCAAATGGAAGATTTATAATAGATTTTAAAGCTAATGCTTTGTTCTTTCTGGAGGAAGGGAAGACCATACTTTAGGATTATACATAAATGCTTAACTGTGTAAAAAGTAAAATATTCTACAGATTAATCTGTTGAAGGGTTATGTCTGACCCCAAAATGAAAAATAAGGTGCTTTAATATGGTACTGCTAAGGAAAATAGTTAAATATTTATAGTCTAAATCAGTAACAAATAAGAAAATAAACATAAATGGTTGGATGCTGATATAAAAGAGGTAAGTATGGTTATTTGACTAAAGTTTAAGAGTCCTGATTTGTTCTTGAGAACATATAAAACAACAACACAGCAAAGAAAAGCACTTGATGTTGCTCTTTTGACACTTGTATTTGTTTGTTTTAATTTATTTATTTTTGGCTGCTCTGGGTCTTTGTTGTTGCTCAGGCTTTCTCTAGTTGTGGCAAGTAGGGGCTACTCTTAGTCGGGTGCACAGGCTTCTCATTGTTCTGGTTTCCCTTGTTGAGGATCACAGGCTCTAGGTTGTGCGGGCGTCAGTACTTGCCGCATGTGGCTCAGTAGTTGCAGCTCATGGGCGCTAGAGCGCTAGCTTAGTGGGCTTGGTTGCTCTGCAGCATGTGGGATCCTCCCGGATCCAGGATCAAACCTGCCTTGGCAGGCAGAGTCTCATCTACTGTACCACCAGTACACAGTATTTATGTCTTAATAAAAATAAAACATCGATCTAGAAAGGAGCAAATCTACTTTTGCCGTACAGCAGAAACTAGTACAACATTGTAAATCAACTATAATAAATTTTTTTAAATAAAAAGGAGCAAAAAGGAGCAAATCAAGTTTATTTTCAACATCTTCTTACAGATATTTGTTTTACAATGAGAGAAATTATGTCCTTGTTTAAATAAGTGTTCCTACTGACCTTTGGTTTCTTTTTCTGTTGCCGATTTTCATTTAAAAATTGGCAACTGTATTCATAGTTGTTTGTAAAATATCAGAGGAAGATCTTGACTGATGTATTATTATTGAGAGGCAGTATAAACTAGAAAGAATACACATTATACAAAGGTTTTTGCATTCCAGAACTGCTTTCAAATACTGATTTATTAATTGACTAAGATACTTGACCTTAGAAATACTACTTACTTCCCTAAACCTTCTGTACCTATATATTAAATTAGAATATAATAATCTACTTCATGAGGTTATTTCAGTACCCATTTTATAGCAGGGCTTCAGTAATAGCTAATGTTGAATGAAAATGTAACTTCTCAGTGGTTGACTCTCTCATGCCCACAAGGGGGCAGTAGTGCCCTTCATTTTATAAGCTATCAACTGTCATTTAAAATTTATATGCTTTAGTTTTCAGCTGCATGGTTCAAAAAGTTTAGCTTAAATATATGTATATATGTAATCAGAATATTCACAGCCATTTGGGTTTGTTGTGGTTCAGGACACACTGAGTAGAGCAAGTGTTTTTTTAATTCAAAAGTTTTTAGAAGCCAATAAAGTAATATGTTTACAACATGGGCTAGAATTAAGTCTTTAGTCTAACTACTGAAATTCTCCAGACTCTTACTGGAATGATAAGCAAAGTTGAAGGCATTCAGCATAAAGATTCTTAGCCTTGGTTCCTGTGGACCTATATCATGCTTGTCACGTTGCTTCTGGCAAACCTACTCCTTTTTTCTCTTCTGTATGTTGACAGCAGCAAATTGAAATTGCTGAACAGTCACATAATTAGAGCTGATCTCTCCAGTGTCATCCTACTCATGAAGCTGTTCTACCTAGTTGTTTCCCTTTAGGGGATTGGCCTATCAGTGCAGATAAAAGAAAGGAGAAAAGTTCTCAGTCAAATTCAGGTTGTGTTATTGAACTGGCTTTAAGGATTTTCTTTTCCTGAATGGTGGAGAAGCCCTCTTATTTCCCATAATCCAACAATATTTTTAGGAATTAACTGAAAATGGGCTTCCCTGGTGGTCCAGTGGTTAAGAATCTGCCTTGCAATGCAAGTGACACCGGTTCAGGAAGATCCTACTTGCTATGGAGCAGCTGAGCCCGTGCACCACAACTACTGAGCCAGTGCTTCAGAGCCCAGGAGTCACGGCTACTGAGCCCAAACACTGCAACTACTGAAGCCCACACACCTAGCGCCTATACTTGGAAACAAGAAAAACCACCACAGTAAGAAGCCTGTGCGCTTCAACGAGGAGTAGCCCCGCTTTCCGCAACTGGAGAAAAGCCCAAACACAACAACAAAGGCCCACCACAGCCAAAAAAATAAACGTATAAATGTTTTTTTTTTATAATTAACTGTAAGTATCCTAGGATTGTCATTTTGGTGGATATTTTTGATACCAAAATCCAAACTGTAAAGATTGCTTTCAATTTTCCATTTGTGACCAAAGATATCAGTTATCAATCAGTGCCACCATCAAACTGCAGTGACTGGAGAAGGCAGACTAACTTAAATATTAATCAGGGCAAAACAGAGTTATGAAGATAAATTTCCTTTTTCTGTAGAATCGTAAGATGCACTCCAAAGTCAAGTACAAATTGCCTTACATTGGTTCAAAAAGAGTTACAGGCTTTGGAATCTTGACAGTTAGGTTCTGATCTGGGCTCTTGACATTCACTAGCTGCATGACCCTGGGAAGATTACTTAATTTTTCTGAATCTTAGCAACTAAACCACCACCACCAGTTTTCACTGACTTGGTGAGACCGCCTAGCCAACCATAGCACATGCCCCTAAATCCTGATCTGAAGAGTTTATATAAGCCACATTCTGAGTTGGTAACAAATTGTCACTAACAATGCCATTTTCCTTCCAAAACAACAGCAGCCATGCTCATTTCACTTTATTTGATGGGGGTCTTGTATTAAAATGAAGCAATTAGCATTATTTAACAATAAAGTATTTTCCCAGAACTCTCTGGGATAAGTCTAAAGAGATCATTTGTGTCATCTCTTTTCAGTTTCACCTTTTCAATTTAGTATTCTATCAGAATACTAAACCTAATTTTTCACAAATGTTCTTTCTTCATCTTGCTATTGAAGAGAAGTTGGGTGAGTCACTATGTTTGAATCAGAGGGAGAACAAATACCCTTAGGTTGGAATCATCATGTGCTAAAAAGTATATAATGCCTTTCTCATGAAGCAGTTCTACCCAAGTAGTCTTCTTTAGCTTGGTGGCCTACCTGATTTGTCCTATTTGAACTTTAAGTATAACAGCCTTGTTTGTGTGTTTGTCTGTGTGTGTTTTAACTGTGATAAAATAATAGCAGTGTATTTTTTATTGTTAGTGACTTATTGTCACATATATTCCAACCTCCATGAGGGATGTATCTAAAACTTGCTTGTTCCTTGTTTGTTTCATTTGTGAGTTCTTATGTCAGCACTTGGTATGATAGTCTGAGTGATAAGAAAAACATGAACTAAGCAGGAAAATTAGAGTATAAGCTATAGCTAATCTTGCTCTTACAAGGTCATTAGATTGACACAAGCTCTTTCTAGAGGCCATACACTGTGTTTCACTAAGACCGTTTGGTTCCTTGAGTATGAGAGAATTAAAATAAGGATATCATTATTTTCTCCACCCTTATCTTCACTCCCACAGTCATCATCCAAAAGCTTTGAAAGTATTTTACAGATAATTGACTTTTTTTAAGGTATATTATTGGGAAAACAAAAAGTAAGAGTACATTTAGGGCTTCCCTGGTGGTTCGGAGGTACAGAGTCTGCCTGTCAATGCAGGAGATACAGGTTCGTACATGGCACAGACTAAGCCCATGCCCCACAACTAATTGAGTCTGTGCTCTCGAGCCCAGGATTTGCAGCTATGGAAGCCTTCATGCCCTAGAGCCCATGCTCCACAACAAGAGAAGCCAATGCCCCACAACTGGAGAGTAGCCCCTGCTCCCTGAAACCAGAAAAAAAACCTATGTAGCAATGAACACCCAACACAGCCAAAATAAATAAAATTAACTAATTATTTTTTTAAAAAAAGAAGATAAGTGTATCAGTCCATTTCATCCAGGAGACAAAATTATGTGTGGTATAGTTTAATTATACATAGTTTTATTATACATATGTAATAAATACTTACATATATACAATAAATATATATTATAAATATATAATTTATAAACTTCAAAAGATTTGTTAGTAACAATGGATAACTATTAAGAGGTGAGGAGAACTCTAAGAATATAAGAATAGCCAGTATGGGGAGCAGTCACTTCTTTGTGATAAAACTTAATTTCCTGCCAGATGACAGGGATAGTTATAGGATTCAGCTTCAGTATCACAAGGCACAGCAAAGAAGGGTGGATTTGGAGCCAAGTGGCAATTAATTTGCAACTGATACAATAAGTTATCTATGAAATTATAGTGAAAGACTTGGGGAAATGCAGTTCATGTTATAAAAGTTGGGTTTATGCAAAACTGTTGAGAAATACTTTCGGTTCATAAAATTAGGCATGCCTGTTGCCATATCTAATGCACTTCCCTCTTGGAACTTAGCTGTAAGTATATCACATAGATAGAGGAAAAAGGTTATGAATGAAGTTTTTTTAAATAGCACATCATGACATAACTAAGTAATTATTATTTTTTAGCATCAATAAATTGTACTATCCTTTAACATTCAAAATGTGAAACTTCAGGTTTTTACCTGTCCTTGCCCTTGAGGTCAGGCCTAGTCTTCTCACCTCTCTAGCTGGTGAATAGAAGAGGCGTGACTGACTAAAGCCCAGGAGGGGCCTGTTCCCTCACCACTGCCTGGCCTGGGGTGAGGCGCTCTGTATGTACTGCCTGCTGCCAAGACGAGCTCTGAGCTCTGTACCGCCAGCCTTGGGAGTGGTTGGAACTCTTGGTGTGTTAGCTGCTGATGCTCAGCCTTGACAGTGCCAAGAGAATGATCAGATGAAGAGAATGTAATGGCCCTATACCAAGCATATTATCTTAATCCACTTTATTTATTTATTTTTTCTTAATCCACTTTAAAGGGAAAACTTTAAACCTTAAGAGTTTTAACACCATGATAATCGGTTTATAGAAGTTTGTATTAGGAAGCAAGATTAAGGAAAAGCTGAGATTTTGATTTAATAAGCCATTTTAGTTCATCTCTATTTATTCTCTCCACTGGACCTCATTTGCCTTTTTTACCAAAATAGGTGACCCCCATGCCTCCTCAACAGTACACTTCTCAAATTCTACCACCTCAGTGCTGGCCACCCTTGCAGCTCTTGCTGAGGCATCAGCTCCCCTCTCCAACTCACACAGAGCCACAGGTAGGTAAGGGATATCTGCTGGGTGAATCACCATTTCTTCTTTTGTTTTCAACTCCCCAGCAGATTTAATTTCCATGAAATGTTAAAGAATTATGGTTAGAGACAACTAAGATAAAGGGATGTAGAGTCACTGAGCATCAAAATGAAAAATCACTAAGTGATACAATCAGTCAGCTGAATAATGTCAGAGAATGAGTAAGTTACTCCTTTGTATTCTTGCAGCTTCAAGTTTGTTTGCACTGACTCGAGTTACATCAGATTGAAATGTTTAGTCTTATATAGCAGAGTTTTGGAAATACTCTATGTTGTGTTTTGACTGATACTATCATAGAATGATTCAAAATAGCAGCCTAGATATTTTGTATTAAAGCATCAAAATACATGGGACTGCTACCTCACTCATTGTTACATCCTGTGTACCCCAGGTTGGCGTGCTTCATTTCACTGGAGATGTTATTTTGGCATTCCTAGTGGATTTGTGGAGATAAATCCTGTATAGTGCCCTTCTGATTTTAAAACAGAAAGGTTTCAGGTCCCTTACCCAGAGCTAGTTACCTCCAGGGAAAAGGTTTAAGACTTCATATAGGTAGGAGGCAAATAGTTATAGATAGGGGTAAATAGTCATCTAGAAATCTTTCTGGAGCCCTCTGGCAATCTGCTTCATCGTAAATGAAAGCAGATTGTTGATTTCTTTCTATCATAGACATTTGGATGCTGAGGACATTCCTCCAATTCTATTTTTCCAACTGGTAGCAATCATAAAGATCTCTCCTCAGATGCGTGTGAATGAGCAGCATGGCAGAGGAAAAAGCAACATATTAAACTTGTGCTTGTTAATTCTTCTAATTTGCTCTTTGATGTTGGATAAATCATTTGACTTCTTCAGGTCTGCCTCCTCATCTCTGACGTGGTAGTTGGATTAGATTATCTATCAGGGTCCTTTCAGCTCTAACATTTAACTGTTCTTTGCTTCTAAGAGGTGTGAGTGCTCTATTTCCATTGAACTGCCTGAACGCATCTCATATGGATAGTCCCTACCCCTAATGCAGACTTCTCCTTGTGACTCTTTAGATACAGAAATTTCATAGTAGTAGGAACTGTTTCCCCTAATAGTTACTGGGGATATTGACTAACCAAAGTGAAAATCTTTATTCAACATGATACATGTAAAGTTCTTATTAATAGAAAGGTACCTGGCCCATAGTAAAAAGTGTTCGTTGCTATTAATGTTATTGTTGATCAGTCAGATGGGAGAAGCCACCTGTTTTTGTCTATCAAACTTCTTCAGTGTTTTGACTTCTTGACATGTTATTTTGTTAATTCTCTATTAAATGCCTTTATTTCTTATAGAAATAGGTCTACTCTAATTTATAGTTATATTTCTAGGCTCTATAGATTTATTTAGACTTTCAAGATACTTCCTGAAAAGGAGTCCTAAGGTCAAGTATGTTGGGGAAACTCAGCATATCTTATTTTCTATTAGAGAGCCACAATGCTCATTTGTCTATTAGGGTCTCTGATACTTACTACAAAATAAAAATAAAAATTTAAGCATAGTTAAACCAACATTTTGAAAACATATTTGTACATAGAACCCGTCTTTTGTGAAAGCTAACATGTCAGTGAAAACATTTTAGAAAATACTGTTCTAATGCATTTCAAGCTTTCCTATTCCTGATATTATCAATTTCAAGGAGACTGAAATTACTCTACTCCTATCTTTTTAAGCTGTAATTTTATATCTACTTTTGTCATCTCTAGCTAATTCAGAAGAAATCATAGAGGGAAATTCTGTTGATTCATCAATCCAGCAAGTGGTGGGGAGTGGAGGCCAGAGGGTCATCACCATAGTGACCGATGGAGTCCCTCTGAGTAATATCCAAACTGCAATCCCTACTGGAGGCATTGGCCAGCCGTTTATTGTGACTGTGCAAGATGGACAGCAAGGTGAGTTGTCCATGTGGACAGTTGCTTATTAAAAGATATTTTAGACGCTCAACACACCTCTAAAAATGAAGCATTAGGGCAAGTTAGGGGGAAATGGGAGAATGCCAGATCCCAGATGGGGCAAAGAAGCTCTGAAAAAGAAAAAAAAAAAAAGGTCAAATTCTCCTAATATATACATAAAATATGTGAGTAAAACCAACAACCTGATAGAAAAAAGAGCAAGTATTGCAAACTAGTAGTTCACAGAAAATACTGATGGTTCTTAAAAATAGGAAAATTTATTTCATTCATGGCAAGAGAAATATAAATACTGCACCGATATACCATTAAAGCACCATGCTATCAAGGGTATGGGGAAACAGGCACTCTTATAAATCACTGGTAATAGTGTGAATGCATCCTCTGAAGAGCAAATTGTCAATATGTATCAGTATTGAAGCTGCACATACCTTCTGGTTAATAAGTTATTTTTCTATGAATTTATATTCACACACACAGAAATGACCTGTATACTAAGTTATTTGTTACAGCATTATTTGTAATCATCATATTAAAAAGAACCTAAGTAGAAGTCATCAAGGAACTGGATAAATTATGGAATACCCTACTCATGCAGTGGAATACTGTGCAGCTATTAAAACAATGAGGAGGATTCTTACATACCAGTATGGTCTCATCTCCAAAATACCTTAAGTGACAAGAGCAAGATACAGGCACTGTGTAGAGTATGCTACATTGTATTTTTTAAAGGGATAAATTTATATGTATATTTGTTAATATATTTGTAGACTTAAGACTGTCTCTGGAAGAACACTCAGAAATAACATTTAACATTGGTTCCCTTCTGGCAGGGCACCTTGGCAGCTGAGAAGCTTTTCAGTGTATATGCTTTTATAGCTTTTAATCTATGAACCATCTGAATGTATTAGTTATTAAAAAATACTTAAGTGAAATTTTTTTGAAAAAAGGAGAAACTAACATTACAACTTCTTCCTCAGAAATACTAGAGGTTGAAAAAGGAGGGTTGGTATCATTGCCTTTTGTGTCATCAGCAATTTGAGTTGGCCTAAATAATTATGAGGATTTTATAATTTTTAAATTATTTGAATTGATGGATCTTTGCCGTATGGGAAGAAAGAGTAGGAATTAAACCTTTATAATCCAAGTTATATCATAAGTTCTTGGAATTTTATTTGGAAATATACTACTGATGTTTTTGTGGACATTATCATTTAAAGTTTGGGAGAGCTCACAGAGTAGGTGAGAGACTACTTATAATGGAATTAAATAAATGAGAACGGAGTTTTTGGGTTTTTTGTTTTTTTAAGATCGGAATTGTTTTAAGGGAAAAAGGTAAAAATTTAAGATCCTCCAGCTTGTGGGATCTTAGTTCCCTGACCAGGGATTGAACCTGTGCCCATTGCATTGGGAGCATAGAATTTTAACCACTGGACCACTAGGGAAAGTCCTAGGGGGAAAAAAATTTTTCGAAGTTTTGCCTGGATAAACTGCACTACTTTTTTACAGATGCATTTAACCAGGCTCAAAGAAGGAAAGCCAAAATTTTGTGGATTAACTGTAAGAAATTTTAAATTCCAGACAAAACTTCAGTTTCCACTTAGCAGATATCTAAGCTGCTTTCTACTGCTATCAACTGATGCTATCAATTTTTGCTTTAAACAAAAATCATAATGGATCCTAAAACCTAAATATAATTTTAACTTTTTATTTTTAGATAATTATACATGTAATTGTACATTCTAATTCATGTACAGTTGTAAGAAATAATATAGAAAGATCCCATATATCTATCACTCAGTTTCCCCAAGTGATAACATTTTGTATAATAGTACAAATATTTTGTACTATTTTGTGCATATGTGCTAAGTCACTTCAGTTGTAATTCAACTCTTTGTGACTCCACAGACTGTAGCCCGCCGTGCTCCTCTGTCCATGGGATTCTCCAGGCAAGAATGCTGGTGTGGGTTGCCATTCCCTTCTCCAGGGGATCTTCCATATCCAGGGATTGAACCTGTGTCACTTATGTCTGCTGCGTTGGCAGGCAGGTTCTTTACCACTAGTGCCACTTGGGAATCCTATTGTACTATTTTGTATAATATACAAATAGTGCAATATTACAGACAGGAAATTTATCTTGGTACAATCCACCAACCTTATTGAGATTTTTTGCAGTTTTCTCTGCCTTCATTTGTGAGTTTGTGTTCTGTGCAATTTACTGTATGAGCACCAGCACAGTTGAGATAGAAAACAATTCCATCACGGGGATTCCTTGTGCTACCCTATATCTACAGCCACTTCCCTTCCCACCCCATTCCTAACCATTGGCAACCACTAATTCATCTGTTCTCTATCATTATACTTTTGTCATTTCAAGAATGTTACAGAAACGGAATCATATAGTATATAGCTTTTTGCAATAAGGTTTTTTTTTTTCTCAGCATAATTCCCTTAAGGTCTATCCAAGTTGATGTTTGTATCAGTAGTTCATTTCTTTTTATTGCTGAGTAGTATTCCATGGTATGGATGTTCCATAGTTTATTTAATCACTTAACTACTTAAGTTGTCTACAGCTTTTGGCTATATATGAATAAAGCTGTTATGACTCATCATGTACAGGCTTTATAGGAACATAAATTTTCAGTTTTCTGGGATAAATGTCCAAAAGTACAATTTCCAGGTCATATGGTAAATACATGTTCAGTTTTGTAAAAAAAAAAAATTTTCTACAGTGACTATACTATTTTACAGTTTCACCAGCAATTTATGAATAATCCAGTTTCTCCATCCACATTCTTACCAGAATTGGGTGTTGGGTGTTATCACTATTTTTTAAATTTTAGCCGTTCTGATAGGTGTGCATTACATCTTGTGTGTTGTGTGCATATGTGTTGACCCTTTTCTCACTTATCTATGAGAAGAGAAATAGTTAAATTAGACATAGCTGATGGTAAACTGCTTTCATAAAAGTTTTCTTAAAATTCTTATTTAAGACATTAGACCTACTTTAGGTAAGTTATTCCTGCAGAATTGTAAGCTGAGTGGTCACAGCTTCTGATCTATAGTCAGACACTTTCATATAAAAGTTTCAGACTTGGGTCTTAACTGCATGGCTTCCAAACCTACAAATCATTGCCCTTCCTTTCTGAAGTCGTCTTTATTTTTCTGTTTTTTAAAAAAATGTGTATTTTTGCTCTGGGTCTCAGTTGTGGCACCTAGGGTCTTCATTACATCATGCGAGATATTTAGTTGTGGTGCATGATCTCTCTAGTTGTAGCATGCAGGCTTAGTGATTGTGATGTGCAGGCTCCAGAGCACACAGGCTTCAGTAGCTGCCACATGTGGGCTTAGTTTCTCCAGGTCATGTGGGATCTTAGTGTCCTAAGGAGAGCTCAAACCTGCATCTCCTGCATTGCGAGAAGGATTCTTAACCACCAGGGAAGTCCATCTGAAGTCTTCTTAGTGCCTCTAATCCTTTCAGTTTCTCTCTACAAAGCCATGCCTTACCTGTTGATTCTAAAATCTGAAGAGATATGATTCTAAAATCCGAAGATATCAGAGAATATGTTTTAGTTTGCTTTCTGATTCAGAGTAAGCAAAATCTCTTTGTTTTACTATGTATTCATCACCTCCAATTGGTGTCCTTTGGCTTATAGTTCTAACTGTACCTGCTGGTCAGGTTGCAGAGGAGACTGTCATTGAGGAAGAGGCAGAAGAAGCAGAGAAGTTGCCGCTGACTAAGAAACCAAGGATAGAAGAGATGACAGACAGTGTGGAAGAAAGCAAGGTAATGTTTTTAGCAGTGGTGGAGAGAAGGCAAAGACTCAAAAGCCAGACTTCTTAAGGCCTGAACCCTTCTCTTTTTGTCTGCTCTTAGGAGTCCTTACCTGTGTGGTTTACTTTTACAGGAAGGCACTGAAAGGGAGCTCCTTCAGCAGCAACTCCAGGAGGCGAATCGAAGAGCCCAGGAATACCGACACCAGCTCCTAAAGAAAGAGCAGGAGGCAGAACAGTACCGCCTCAAATTAGAGGCCATGGCTCGACAACAGCCCAATGGAGTTGATTTTGCCATGGTTGAAGAGGTGGCTGAGGTAGATGCTGTAGTAGTCACAGAGGGGGAGATGGAAGAGAGAGACACAGAAGTGACTGGGGCAGTAGGGACCACAGAGCCTCATACTGGAGTTTCCATGGAAACTGTTTCAACTTAATGTGCAAGGGCCACAACTTGTACTGTGTCCATCTTTTTCCTCTTTAAAAAAAATACAGAGGACAAACATTGTGTAAAAATTAAGAATGTCCTAAAGAAGAAAATTACAGCAGGGTACAATGCTATAGGCTACAACTTGGGCTCAGGAATGCTCTCTATGCAACTGGAAACTTCAAAGCCAAATTTAAGGAACACATCTTCTGAGGGTCCAAAATAATAGGGACCAGATTTCTCAGCTCACATCATTGCTTGAAGCATAGTGGTAAAAGAAAGGTGGATGTTATGGAGTGATTGTTTTTTAAATAACTGACTTTCTATCAGAAGATTTTGAAATAACATTTCTAATATGGACATACCCAGAGCCTTTAATAGTTGTACCATCAAGTGACCTGAAACTTTGCCTTTGATTATTGATGTGTACCCATTAGGGAAGAAACCTAATTGGGAGGAGGGATTAGATGTAAGCTTTAGGGAAGACAAATATATTCTGCTTCCAAAGGAACAGGCAGGCATTCCCCACTATCCTGAGTTAATTTCACTGAAAAGAAATCACCTGAGTAAATTTGCATCCATTGTGTGTCCATAGCCCAGATGCCAGTTTAAGAAACTAAAATAAAATTTTTAAAAACTGGAAATGAAAGAAAACTTGTTGATGTGGGAGAAGTGTATGTAGATCCCAGATCCTCCAGCTGCACCTCTGCGGTGCTGGAAAGTGGCCACAATAGAGGCTCGTGGGGTTAGGAAACAGTTTGGTCTCGAGATACCAACTTTGCTCTGGCTAGATTTTATGAAATTGCAGTGAGGAGGGTAGTCTGTTGTCAGAACAACTTGCTTCCAAACATTTATTTATGTAATGTCAAGCTTTAATATCAACCTTTTAACTTTATAAAATTTTGTTGAGTTTGCTAAGTGTGCCTTTCTGTGGAACTTACATGGTATCCACTCATATGCAAGAAAAGACAGGAGGAGAGATGAAGGCTGAGGATGTTGTATTTTTAATCCATCTGATTTGGGCTGAGTACACTGTTGTTTTCTTAAGGTCAGGTCTTGTGTGGAGCTTTTGTGCTTTATAGGTGCTCAGTGTTGGCAGAGGGGATAAGGACAGCCAGTGCCATACGTAAGGAACCAAAGATTCTGGCCAGATCTTTGTCACCTTACTCTCTTCTCTCCCACCGTGCCTGCTCCTTTTGCTTAGACACTTTAGAAAGTGTTTCATTGCTGGGATTTCTTGGAGTTTTTTTTTTTTTTAAAGAATGGGAATATGGGTGGAGAGAGAGAGATCGTGGAGAGGTCATCATCCTGTACTTGCTTTGTTATAAATTAGAAGCAACCAGAGGGAGATGTGAAGGACAGGGAAGCCTGGTGTGCTGCAGTCCACAGGGTCGCAAAGAGTCGGACACAACTGAGCAGACTGAACAAGAGGGAGATGTGCCAAGTAAACAGTTGAATGACTGTTTAGAAAAGGTTTTCTTAATGAGCGATCATGGGGAAAACATGTATTTTTAATTTGGAATAAAATGTGACAGTTAACAGGGTACTATTTACTTTGATTAGTGAAGTAATTTGCTGCAGTTTTCCAGAGGTGCAGAATCATTTAGGGCTCAAAATAGACTGTAAACATAACTCCCCAAACCAAATTTAACAAAAGTGAAAGGAAAAGTGAAAGTGAAGTCACTCAGTCATGTCCGACTCTTTGCGACCCAGTGGACTGTAGCCCACTAGGCTCCTCCATCCATGGGATTCTCCAGGCAAGAATACTGGAGTGGGTTGCCATTTCCTTCTCCAGGGGATCTTCCTGACCCAGGGATCCAACTCGGGTCTTCTGCATTGCAGGCAGACACTTTACCCTCTGAGCCACCAAGGAAGCCCCAAAAGAATTGTCTATTAGAGGCTTATAGACAAAAATATCAATTTTGAAATGAATTTTGGCTCTGAGCCACCTTAGCTAGGTTTTTTCCATGGACCAAGTACTGAGCACTTTCCAGATGATCAGAGATTAGTCTGCACCATTGGGGATGGTGGAGAAATTCAGTGGAACAGCCTAGGTATGGGTGAGTGTAAAATGTGGTATCTGCTGTCAAATCGTCCTGTTTCTATTTGCAATGTTTTTCCTTTCTCTGAGTCCCTTTGTGAATCAGGTGCTAACAGTAAGCTGCTATTGTGTTCCATTTCAGAGCTTTAGCTTAACTATAGAGGGACCAAGTGTTATTTTAGATGTGTTTTGTGTATTTTCTTGGTGTATATATTGATATTAGTTCCTTGTTTTTTGGTTTGTTTGTTTTTTCTTTCCTGTTAAGGGGGTGGAGGTTAACTCTCAGAAAGTATCTAGATCCAACCAGCTTACTCTCTAAGGTAGTTTCCTTAGTGCTGATTCCATCCAGCACTCCCTTCTGAGTATACAGAGCCCCTACTGTTTGAAGGAACTGTTTAGAGGTTCTTATTCTTTTTCTGTAAAAGCCTATCATTCCCACCCAGAAAAATATCTAATATAGCCCAAGTCATTTTTGATGATGGGGTCTCTGAGATAGGGAGTTTAAGGAGGGGTTGGTTAGGGAGAGAGAGAAGGGCAGTGTTTGGAAAGGGGTGGATACTAAAAGAGCATTTGTTTTTATTTACCTGGAATAGACCATTTCGCATTCCACAGAAGGGAAATAGGATTTGATCTCTAGTGGTATTGCCATAGAGAGAATGGTAGGTCAGGATCCCTTGAAGTAGTTAATATTATTAATGACATTATTGGCAGTACCATTATATGATTTTGCATATTTTTCTGGATCAACCTTGGAAGTTGGGAAAATGTCTAGGTCTTCTGGGCTTGGGGAATGCAACTGGTCTATTGGCAAGGTTGGATTACAGAGACTCAAATAACAGACAGGTGGTTCAGAGGTGGTACTTGAGCAGGAAAAACCTGAAACCTAGGATGACTGCTTATTTTAAAATAAAGCTGCTTTAATAGTATCAGTATTAATATAGAAATTTTAGACCCTACATTTACATTATGGTTTTAAGCTTCCCCCTAAATAAGAGAAAGAAATAAATCTTAGTATTTCTGTTCTTGTTCCCGGCTTCAGGGAAATTGCTTACAAATATATAGATGGACATTCCCTTCCTATCACTACCTCTGTGGGATCTCTTAATTATAATGCCATAGTTGAGGTCTCTTACTTGAAATATGAGAGAACTTGGCTTTAGGTTTTCTGTATTTTGAACTCAGCACCTTAAAAGATTTTCTTTTTTCTCTGTCATATCTGTTTCATTATTTTTGGCTTTGCCTCACCCTCTTTTTCAGCCTTAGCATTGCTTTATTAAGATTTTTGTGTCTGCTCAGTAATACTAGAAATCTGTGGCATACAAAATGACTTTCCTTTCTTTCTTTATATTGCTGTAAAAGAAATGAATTTACCAGAAGGCTCTCCAGTTGAAGTTAGGTATTTTGTGACCAGTGCATTTTTTTTAACACCCCTTTGCTGCATGTATATTATTGTGTATGTTTATAAATACATATGAATTTTCCCACTTTTCTCTTTGTTTTGAGGTCCAATTCTAAAAGTACCTGGTAAAGCTGGAAATATTTTTTATTTCATCAAACACTTTAGAGAGGATTTCTTTCAATTCATTAAAGGGACTGAGGAAGCAAAAGCATTACTTTGGCCCTTTTCTGAGAGGCACACTCAACAGGCAGTAATGAGAAACCTGAGGAGTAAGGCCCTAGGGAGAGCCAGTACCTAGCTTTGCAGAGATTTCTTTAGCATATAGTGTGATGACATCATGTAAACTGAAAGCTTCAGAGCAGAGTCAGGGGTAGAACTGGAGCTGCCTTTCCACAGAGCAAACCTCCTTTCCACTCCTGTGGCAGCTGTTTTGACTGACATTTGCATAATTTCTTATACTTCTCAATAGGAAAGAAACTCTAGATAAAGGTCCGTGGCAGAAGCAGCAGACATTCTATACATCTGCTTTTCCAGTTTAGACACCTCATCCTTTTAAGAAAAGATCATTTTGAGAAATTTCTGTGGCTCTGTCCTAACAAACAACATCATGGATCCCCAGAATTAGAAATCTTGAGGAATATAGAGAACTATTCCCAGAAGTTTAATCCCGAATGGCAATTAGTCTTTGTCCAGATTTATTGGAGAATGGCCTCCTATTCTCTGCTCCATGTGTAGACATCTCTGTATGGCCAGAAAAGGAGCTTTAGAATGGAATACAAGCCAAGCATACCCATGTGCTGCTCTAAGCTCTTATCTATTTCCATTTTGTGTTTTCCCCTTCTGAGTTAGTATTCTATTTCCTGTGCCAACATATTTACCAAGAGACAGGAGCAAGAAGGATGTGAATTCAATTTAAGTAGCTTTGAACCTCTGGTACTGCCTTTTTTTTTTTTTTAAAGCCTCTTTAAGATTAGGAGGTGGAGTGATATCCCAAGATTGTACTACAGAGCAGTTTGGATTGTTAATGGCAGGAAATTGTGATTCCCTGTCTCTCTCTCCTCCCCTTCCCCTCTAACTACTTCTGCTTCTGTGACCCCATTGTTCTTATCTCATTGAGTGTTTCCCAGGCACTGGAATTTAATTAGTAGGTCATTTCTAATCTATGGGCCTTGTCTTTCCTCTTTCTATTCCCTGCCTTCCCCACCACATATTTTCTGTTTATTAAGTGGTTTATTCTTAATTCTGAGAATTAATCTAGGTCATGCTCTATATCCTGTGCTATCTCATTGGTTTCAGGCATCTTGTTCTGTCAGCAGTAGTAATAACAGCTCCCTTCTCTGGCTTTGCCCTGTGTACTGTCCTTCTGCCAAGGCCACTTGTGTTAGGCCAGAGAAAGGGTAGGTGGGGTGCTTAGCTTCTCAAAACAGCTTCAGTTTTACAAGTTGTCTGATAGCTTTATGTACAGTATATTTTAGGAAAACAAATCTACTTCTCTTATTTAGGATTTTAATAAAATAGGGTTTGAATCTGATGAGCAAGTTCGTGTGTGTGTGTGAGCATTTATGTGTATGTACACCTATACAAATCTATATTATATATATAATTTTTGTACTATCATTTAAAATAAAAAGATATT